TGTGGAAACATTGCTACACCTATGTTGACCCATTCACTTCCCCATTTGGAAATAGGTTAACCTATCTAAATAGATTAAGCTCTTGCCTGTTTTCCCTTAGTCTTTTTATAATTTTCTTTTTGCTACTTTACTTCATTGGTTTTATATTGTATTCATATATCTCCAGCTGTTTCTTCTTTAAATTGTTTTTGTTTCTGTTTCACATTGTTTTTTTTATTTTTTGAGGTTATTATTTTATTTATGCATATACTGTTTATTGTATTGTCTTTAATTCTGAGACTGGTTTTTTTTTTTCATTATAATTTATCTGAGATGATAAACTGTACGTCCCTGGGTTGAAAGCCTAAACTGTGGCAGCTCTGGGATGTTTGGGTTATGTACAAAAGCACCCCAAGGCAAAGATCCTCCAACATTTAAATTACCTTTCTAATTCCTAGGCTCAAGCATCTCACTCCTTTTTTTCTAATAGGTAGCTTTGTCTCTCAGATAATGCATCTGAATTTCCACCAGACATTGCTTTTTTCTGATAACTGCTCTCATTGACCTTGTTCATCTTACCCCAGGATATGGAAGGTGGGGCAAGTGGGAATAACCAGAGCCCAGGTTAACTGCTACAAGCCTTGTTGTTGACTATCCTTTTCAGCCAGGTCCAAGTGTTCCATCCTCCTAGTTTGCTTGCACCATTTTAAGCTAATATTGGTCTAGACATACACACTTTCCACCTCACAACATTGAAAGGATAAACTGATCTGCACTGTGTGATATGGGTAGGAAACAGAAGGGACAGAGGAGGAAGCTGTTAAGTCAGTTAAGCTTCTTCTCCACCATGGACACCATTTTCCCCATAGAGGGGCCTAATTAATTTCTGTTTCTCAAAGTTTCTATTAGAAATTTCTCAGGGTTTTTCTTAGGTTTTTATTCTAATTACTTCTCATTTGAGGGGAAACATCAGATTTTTTTTAGTGTCCCATCTTAGAAGAAGAACTTAGAATGTCATCAGGATAATTGCCATTTGTCATTTATTGCAGGAGAGATGAAACTTCCTGTGGAAAGCCTTTCCTCAGTTCCCCAACACCTAATGTAAATTATTTGCTCCATCATTTTCTTTCTTAGCTCCTATAGACATAATTTTCATAGATGTGGCTTAAAGAATTGAATATCTTCTGATTTACTCTTTCTTATCAATATGTTTTTTTAAACATTTCCCTAAACATTTTATCTTCTAGACTCCAGGGAAAACTATGAAGGATGTCATATTTATAAAAAGCAAAATTAGGACACAAGATGTTCTATACCAATAGGTTAACTAAAGGAAAAACTCAATGCTTCTACCAAGCTTCACTGTAAAGAAAAACCAGGGGAAGAAATAGCAAGAAAGTTAGACACCAGTGTTCTTCATCAGTCTTCTTTCATGCTCAACACTAGAACTGAGGAGCTAGGCAAGTAAGAGAGACACTGAAAATTACTAAAAACTTAATATGTTATAATTGTGGGTTTGATCCCACAAGGTGACAAAGGCAGGCAGGTAAGTTTCCATCTTGATACACCAACTAACATTTGAATGAGAAATGGCATGAAAATTATGAGGGGAGGAAACTAGAAAGATAATTGTGTAGAATAATACAGAAATTCTTGCATATCCTAGATAAGGTTTGCAGAGTTCAGTAACAAAACTCATTTTGAAGGAGGGGATAAATTAGGTAGTCACTATGTATCTGAGAAAAAAAGTCCTGCAACCACAAATGCTAATGATTTATGCTGTCTATAAATCACTAATGGACCTTTATGACTACCTGTCTAAAGAACAGATAAGACAAGCAACTTGATGGAATATAGCAGCTAGGAAGCACAGGACATCAGGTAAACATGAACAATCCCATTTCTCAGTGTGCTCCCAAATTCTCTTTCTGCGTATCATGACTGAAGAGGGAAATTAAATAATAATAGTAGTCTGTAATTGCTGCATAATAAAATAAAGTATACTGTATTGTGTACAATATAAGAAATAACCCCCAGCTCTGCTTAAAATTAACAAACTCCCTGTAAAACCTGCCTTTTCTATTCTTCCCACATTCTCAGCAAAGTTCCTGGGCATCTCAAGACTCCTGTTTTTCTTGCTGAACAGCAGCAAGGTCACAGGTCAGGATAACACCAAAAGAATGTACAATGCGATTCTCAGAATGCTATTATTCAAATGTAACATACATCACAAGACATTTTACAAATTAACTGTTCCTTGTTCTGACTTCTGTAAACCTGTTAGCTGTTATGTCATCCTGGATGTATAAAAAGCACCCCATTTTCTTTCTCCTTTGCTCAGCCTAATCCACTGAGTCAGTGGTCACCTTAATAAAATCCTCCTGTTTCACCCATTGGTCTCTCTGGTCTCCCGAATATTCTGCAACAATGACATTATCTTGAAAAAGAGAAGAAGGAAGATGGAAAGGCATGAAAGCTTCTAAGCTGCTGGAAAGAGCACCTAAGCATAACCAACCATGCACTAGTTCCATACTGTTTAGTAGGCTTGTGAATGTGAATACAGAAAAGTAAATTGCATATAACAAAGTAAAATCTGCACATCTAAGTACAGTGTGAATAGACTGTTATGGTATTACGGTAGGATTTATCACACTTTTACTATTACAATATTAAAATTGCCCATTTAATTTTATTATTCAATGTGATTTTAAGCTTCTTGAAATTAACAATATTTTTCTCTTTCAGCATTTTTATTCCTCTAAACACTGTTATTATGACATGGGAGTCACTTAATAATTACCTATTCAGTATATTTAATAAATGGTACATAAAAATGAAATGATCTCAGGAAAGTTTCCAGGTGTTTTCTTTGATTTTCCACATGTCACCAGTTTGTACTATTATATTTCAATTAGCCTAAGTATCTTAATATTCTTGCTAGAAAAACAATGACATAAAAGGTAATGATGTCTAAGAAGATAATTCCTGATCCAGAAGAATATAGTAGAAATAAAAGTAAAACTAATACCACACACACAAAGGAGTAATTTGGGTGGACTATGTGTTGGCATATAAACATCTTGATCTTGTCAAATGGAAGAAGTTTCATATAGAAATGCTATTGTATTTGAACTTGAAATTCCTGTCACAAAGAGGCAAAAGACCCCACCAGCAAATACTGTTACAGCCTTAAAATATATGGGTTAAAATAGATATGGTGACCTGATACTTATGTTTGGGTGAGTTTGAAAACTTATTTTTCAAATGAAAGTTTCTTAAGTGTATGATGCTATTAATTCCACATTAGCCTGTTGACATCATTGTTTACGTCATACTTTAAAAATAAATCCATCAAATAAGGCCATTGATGTGTCAGAGCATATATGAGTTATAGCTCAATAGTACTACTTGACTAACTAAATATAAAGAAACATAAATAATATAGTCTAAATACATCAAAAGTGTTCATGCACTAATTATTAGAAATTAATTATATTTCAAATTAATTTTCCACTTTTGCTTTAAGATAAAGTGACACATTCTTATTTAAATCCAAAGTTGCATAAATTTTGAGAGCTACTCCAATGTGAAGACCAGATTTTCGCAGAAGTTGATGTCTTATTATAACTGATCTTTAGGGCAAATACATTGCAGTTATATTTTTATCTATGCATCTAAGTTATAAAACTAGTTTTGCTGTGAAACCAGATGAATTTATTAAATTTACTAAAACCTTCCTATGGGAGTGCTGCATAACATTATGGTTTAAAACTTATCCAGAAAAAAACAAAACTATTTATGCAGATTTAAATCCACAGAGATTATTTTGATAGATACTATTATCATTGAATTTTAGATTATCTTAATGGATATATATATATGTGTGTGTGTGTGTGTATACATATATGTATATACATATATACTTTCATTTCTCTTTATAAAATTGAACTTGGCAAATTCTACACATTTTCTCAGTGTACATGTTCTGAAGTTAATTTTAATAATAAAAGAAAATAATATTTGAGTCATGCACACATTGATTAATCCAAGCTTGACAGCTTTTGCTCCTCTCATAGAACTAGAGCAGGTCTCAACATGCTTATTATGTTTTAAATATAACAAACTAGAATAGCTTTGGGCCAATAACTTTTAGATAATTTGCAATGTGGAATGATTAAGGAAAACTCTTATCGAAAGTATCACACTTAATGCAATGTAATTACTATCAGAAATTCTTTTCCTTTAAAACATAATATGGTTTATGATAGTCCCCAATGTATGATGATTTGACTCATGATTTTTTAACTTTACCATGTGTGAAAGCAATACACATTTAGTAGAAGACATAATTCAGTATAAAATTAAATACATTCCATGAGATATTTGACACTTTATTATAAAATAGGCTGTTTGATTATTTTGCCCAACTGTAGACTAATGTAAATGTTCTGAACAAATTTAAGGTAGTCTAGGCTAAGCTATGCTGCTCGGTAGGCTAGATGTATAAAATATACTTTCTACTTATGATGAGTATACATAACCCCATTTAAGTCAAGAAGCATCTGTGTTAAGATACATACATATCCTAGAGATAAGGTTATTCTTGCCATACATCTATTTTCAATTATTTGAATTGCAAAATGCATTATTAGATCATTTCCTACTAACAGAATTGTTTTTTGAGAAAAGATATACTTCAGGAAAAAAGAAAAATAAATATATTACAATGAGTTATTGCTTAGAAGATAAAAATATATGAGATAAATTATGTAAAAGAATGTTAAAGTACTCCTAAAAGGAATTTATCCTAGAACTTAGTCTGAAAATGCAGACTTGGGCTTGCGCTGGAGCATGGTTTACTTGCGAGGGTCATAAGATGGAAACAGCTACTAGGGAGGCTGAGGCAGTAGAATTGCCTGAACCCAGGAGGCGGATGTTGCGGTGAGCTGAGATCGCGCCACTGCACTCCAGCCTGGGTAACAAAAGCGAAACTCTTTAAAAAAAAAAAAAAAAAAAAAAAGATGGGAACGCTCCGGGAACGTAGAAATATCCCGCCGTGGGTGAAATGTTTCAAAGACCTGAAAGATTCCGAAGTGTTCCAGGTCCAGACGCGGCTGCTGGAAGCCATGTTCGGCCGGGACGGATGTCGAATCCTTTACATCGAGCAGGTGAGCAAGGCTATGCTCGAGCTGAAGGCTCTGGAGTCTCCAGACTTCGCCGAGGTAGTGGTTTACGGCTCCTATAAATACAAGCTCCGGGCCAAGTGGCTGCTCCAGTCTATGGCTGAGTGGCACCGCCAGCGCCAGGAGCGAAAGATGCTCAAACTCGAGGAAGCCATGAATGCCCTCGAACCAGCTTCCAACCAGGATGAAGGCCAGGATGTAGAGATTAGTTTGTGGCCAGCTTTGAAGTGATTGTTCCAGCTTTGTTTAAAATCTGTTCCAGCCTGAGGAGTTGAGGCAAAATCATCTGTTTAGGGGACTCTACCTTGGGTCTGAGTCTTGTTGTGAATATCTTTGATTGTTCCCAATAAAAGTTTTTCTTCCCCATTTTAAAAATTAATAAAGTTTTAAATCAGTAAAAAAATGCAGACTTATTTTCAAACATATTTATTTAATTTTTAGAAATATTTTATATAAATATATAGTCATCAATTACTGAACACCTATTCTGTGACAGCCAACTGCTGGCTATGTGTTGTATGATTAAATCCTTCATTCCCAAAAGGAAGGTGTCATGCCGTGATAAAGATACAGAAATTAAAGTTGACTAAATCTTAATACTCAGTAATCCATGGAATGAGTGTTAATGCCAGTTAATCTGACTCCTGTGTTTATGTTTCTAACCACTCTGTTAACCTGTAGCACTTTGTTTCTATGAACTCTCATAATTACCCTGTGAAATGAGTATTAACGTCTCCTTTTGAAGGTGAAATAATTGAGAGTTAGGAACAAAAAGTAATTACCAAAACTCACTTGGATAATTATTATTAACTAAACTGTGATTTTGTTGTACATTTTATGTCATGGTAAGTCAAGTAAAGCCGTAAAAGGAAACACAGGAGAGGTCAGGAAGATAAAGTTTATTATACTCGGGGGTCCTAGAGACAGGAAGCATGGTGCCACATGTGACCACATGAAATAGACACCGGGGTAGTCAGGTAGCAGAAGACAAGAGCAAGGAGAGAGCATTAGGGGTTTTAGGTAGGACAGGGTGAACAGTTTAGGATTGGCTTGTTTGAATAATTTCAGGGAGCTCTAAACTATAGGGGTGGTCCCTATTTGCCTCATATCTGGCCCTGGGATGATTAAGAAAGAAGAATATTCTCTGGGGTGTAAAGGAGACACCCCAGAAGTACAGAGGGAAGGTATGGCTTTGGACTGGCTTTTTGGCATATCAACGTCATTCTCTTGGTGGTTCTTTGCTTTCTGTAAGCACTATCTGTAAGACCAGCAGTTCTTCTTCTGCTAAAAAAAAATTTTTAAGACACCAGAATATGATATTATATAGAAAAATTTTAAAATATATACCACACACTGGGATTTCAACTTTGTTTGTTAAACCTAGCAAACTCCTATTGCCTCTTTACTCACATAAGACCTGTCTTATAGCGGGGGGAGAAAGTCACTAGAGTGATGTAACATCGTTTCAGGATACATTCCTTATCTGAAAGATGCATGGGGCATATCAGAATTGTCAATGCCTTTGGGCTGCATCGGTAATATTTTTTTAGTATCAAAACAAAAACAAAAAGAAATGCATGTAAAAAGAATATTATTCTTTTTTGCCATAAGGTTCTGATTGATTTTTTTTTCTTTTATCCTAAAAGAAAAACCAGACATACTTGATTTGAGTTGCCAACTCCTCAACTATGAAAACACAATACCTAATTCTAAGGGAGCAATGCCAAGGATGTTATAAGGGTCGAATGCCTGATTGCAGTAATATCGGCCGCCCATATGACCAAGTTATATCTGGTAGGGTGGGGAAGTCAAATACATCTTAGTAAATACCATGCACTGTGGCTAGAGGGAGATGTGAGGACTTGAAATAATTTGGTTACAGCACTAAATCTCTCAAGTTAAAGGTGACAATCAATTCCACAGGAAGGCTAAATAATGAGAAAAACCATACACCCTGACTTGCAAGCAGGGCATAGGAGTTTTTTATATGTTTGGGATAGCAAGGACATTCTGAAGAACAGTGGCTCTACTGCAGATGTCAAATGCTCACATGTCAAAAGCAGTTAGTGTAGAAAAGTAAATGCATGAACAAATGTATTCCTTAGAAACAAATAAGTTCTCATTGATTGTATAATAGTTCACCCTAACAATAATTATACTATACCCTAATTTATGAAAAATGCATCCTCCTTGGCCTATACTTCATTATTTGGAGTATAAGTAATATTTGAGTGTTTCTTAACATTACTAAATGAAAAAAAATAGTCCAAGGGCAAAAATCAGTGCAAACTGAGAGTAGCTTTTCATGATGGAAAAAGAGAAAGTTATCAGCAATTCTGAATGTTCATGCTTTTTCAAAGCACTAATTCTGATATAGAGCCATTTTATTACCATACAGGGATGTAGACTCTGGTAGCGAGATCTGATTTTTCAAAAGAAACAGGTGATCTTGGTATTTCAAAATCAATTTCTTTTTATTCAGAAAAAAATAATATTAAATAAATTCTATGTGGATGAACAGCACATAGAATACCACAAATGCATTCATCAATGCCCAGGAAATATATAACAACTTATTCCAAATCTCTGTTATTATTATTACTTCATTTTATTGGCTGCCATAGTTGGGCAAGTTCACCACTCCTTTAGATATGCTTAACTCCTCTGTCAAAGGGTCTATAATCCAAACACTAACTTGAAAAATGTTTTAATGGTCAAGCATGAATAAGGATATATTAAATTAGTTTGCCTAATACAATATCCAGTCTGTTAATTAACAAGTGATCCACAACGGTCTCTGTTCATCCAAGCACACTCACATCCACCATTGATTATTTTCACTGCTCTAACCTGAATATATTTGCAAAAGAGAGAAAAGAAGAAGATTGAATGGGGTTGTAGGGAACAGGCATTCTCAGAAGTATCCCTATGTCAGTGACCGAGATTCATCTAATAAATCTGCATTTCCTGCACTGCTTCTCTAAGACTATTTGCAGTATAATCATCAGTAGGGCCAGTTGCGCCAAACATTCAATTTAGTTAAGTCCAAAACTTTGTTATTTTAGGACAATAATCTAAACCAATTCCTGACTCTCTAGATCTTCTGGTGTTAGCCATATATTCCTTATCACAAACAGAAACTATTTCATTTGCTCACATACCTGCTTATTTCTTTTGTTAAAATGTAATAACCAGAAATGCAGAGACTATGTTTGTGTTTTAATCCTATTGCTCAACCTGTTGCTTAACACTTTAGGCACTAAATTAGTATATGCGACATCTAGCCATCTTTGCTGGCTTTCTATATCTCTTCAAGGGAAAGCAGGGGGAAAATTATTGTGTTTAGTCATAGTTTGTGTTGAAAGATTCAGATATCCAGTCCAATTCTTGTTATCTGGCCCCCCACAGTGAAGTTTTATCTTCAACTTGGTCAGTGTTGTATTCTCACTGTGGTAGCTTGCCAATCAATGTTCTGCCTCTCTGTTACCACAGAAAAAGGGTAGACATTTCCATTATGCCAAGCCCTAAAGTCCTGTAAAAGCCCTGGGAAGAACTTATTTTATAACCTTGAATATTCCTTACCAATTCTAAGGAATGCTTCAAGTATTGGCAGGCTGACAGTCTACCGTCTGGTATTTTTGGTTTTGCTGTTGATTCCCCTGAAATTTTAGCAAAGATTAGCTTTCTATCTTCCGGGCATTCAAAATCTGCTACAGAACCCCTTCTTGCCAAAGTGGGGGCAGCAGCTGATGCCTGTATCTACTGGGTTGCAAGCAGTTCATCTGGGATATAGAAATTTCAGTTTTGAAATAAATAAAAGGAAAAGTGCTCCTTGTCTATTATACCAAAAGCTTTTTTTTTTCTTTCTGAGATGAAAGATAAATCATTCAACTGTATGTGCATGCTAACTATATCAAAATACTTCATCCTAAGTAAATTTTTCCATTCTTCATTCATTCCTCAGGGAGAAAATGTGTGAGAATCATGGCAAAGAAGGAAGATTCAAGATATTACTTGGATAGTACACTGTTACAGTAGCTTAAGAAACCACTGGAATTGAGGCTTGGGTGCCTGGGTCTGCTTCTACCATAATTTGCACCATTTAGGTAAGCCATGTCATTCTTAAGAGTCTTCTTTTTGTAACTGTAAAATGAGAAGTTTGCATTAGAGATCTAATATATCCTTCAGTCCTAGCAACAAATATAGTTTACTATTTCAGTCAAAAATATTATTTAACTAAGTTCTAGTTCTTTTACCTCAAGTCCTGTGGACAATTATACTTTCTGCACTTTAAAAAAACATTATAGGTAAATGATATTTTTTAGATGCTAAATTTGGAGGGTTGCTGATGTAGTTATTATTTTGGCTACCCCTTTTGGAAGGGATGTGATAAACAAATTCCACATTCGAAGAACTAACCTTGCTGGAGTGGCTCGTGCAGCACTGTTTTGTGCCACAAAAGATCCCCAGAGTTTGTTGAACTGGGAACCAATGGTGACTTGGTGATTAATTTACTGAAAATGTGAATGCTGGTCTCTTGGGGTGGGAGGTGCCCTGGTTGGGAACAATCTGTCAAAATACAAACATGTTAAGGAAAGCTTCAACAGCTGAGGGAAGAATGTGAATCTGTTGTTCCATTAGAGAGAAGATGAAGTAAGGCTCAAATCCCATATGAATGGATCTAATAAACTATAAAACACAGGCTTAAGCAAGGCCACATACAGAGAATAAACAAAAATTGTCATGGGTTTTAACATAAAAAATCAGATCACATTTTACCAGATAAGATAGCAAGATATCTTATATATTTTAAAATGGCAGTTCTTTGTCATAAGTTATATGTTTCCAGGGCAAAAAGCTTCTTATCCAAGGGATCAGCATCAATTCTAACAGCTTCATCTTTATTCAGACTAAAATCCCATTACCACTGACAGATGGAAGGTTATCCCATTTCATCCTGTGTTTGTAGAATATTCAATAATATAGCTCTAAATACAAAATTATGAGCACAAACATTTTTGTTTAAATTCCTCAGCCAAAATCTTTATATTATTGTTTTAAATGTCTTTGCTCTACTGCGTCCTTAGAACAAATGAAGAAAAACAGCACAGTTCTGTCTGTGATGGTAGTTCATTTTATTTTATTTTTATTTTTATTTTTTTGAGACGGAGTCTTACTCTGGAGTGCAGTGGTGTGATCTCGGTTTACCGCAACTTCCACCTCTCGGGTTC